CACACACACACACACACACACACACACACAAAACGTTCTCTCTGCCGCGTGAAAACACGGGCTAACGAAGCGGTGACAGCGGCGGTGGCGGCGCCTGGTCGTCGGTCGCGGCTGAGTAGGACGCGACGTTCGGGCTGGAGCACGTTGATTCTTTCTACGAAGCGCCTACCCTGCCAGGCACCATAGCTGTGTGAGAGCTATGGCGACAGTGCCCTGGCGTAGCCGAAGCCCTTGAGTGGGTTAGGGAGTGCCATTGCACTCTTACGCCAATGGAGCTCCACATCTGACTTTCATACATCCCTCATACCTAATTGAACCTAGACACCAGAAGAGCCGTTCTCTCCTTAGGCCTTCTGCTGAAAAGGGGGGGGTACGTTCTTACCATCCAAAGGTCGTGTACTGTACTTCCATGACACGCCATGTCGACTGTTGCGATCACTAGGAAAAGCAAGGAAGGCGGAGCGGCGCATCTGGACGCAGTGGGAGAGCGTGCGGCTGCGGTGGCAGCGGTTCGGCATGCCCAAGGGCTTCAGCAAGTCTCGTTGGACCTTTCTACAACACAAGACAGTCAGAGAGGAGGGAGCAAAGCGCCCTGCGCCACGGTACGAGCAGGAATGGCGCTGTGAGATATTCAATATGTTCTAGCCTAGTAATTTGTATGTCTTCTTCGGCACATCTTGGCACAGTTTAGGTTAGTTTCGGTGATTTAGCTGGGTTACATATTAGGTTGCTTTTAGACTCGACATATCTTGAGCGAGCGCCAAGTATGCGGATAGTCAATCCGGTACACTTAGCGCCACGGCAGATCTAAGTCTACTGTGCAAATTTCCTGTCGTGTCTCTTTGAGCGGTACGTGTGCTTCTTGTGGTTGTTGAGACGGTTGGCAATAGTCTCAGCGTGAGTGGTTGGATTGAGATTTCTTGTTGTGAGTCATTTCGCGTGTTGTTTTCACTGCCCTTCTTTTGATGTGGCTCTTGGTACTCGATTCTTGCTCTGCTTGCAGTGCTCGTTAGGTCTTTGGTTCTGAGCATTCGGCACTTGCTCGGCTAGTAGAAGGATCCGTAGGCCCCTTTCTGTAGGTTTCTTATGGCATTGCGGGAGGAATTGTGCTGGTTCCGTTGACGTTTTAGATGTGCTTGACTCGAGATTTGTGCCTGCTATGCCGGGCTGTATCGAACACAGTTGTAATTCAGAGACTCTCGTAGTTTTTTTTTTTTTTTTTTTTCCCAAARAAAGGCCCTTGCGATATCCCTCTATCCTGGCGGTGGTAAGAGAACCGTCAGAATTGAGGGCTTACCTGTCGGGCTGCTCCATCTATTGGTGGGGAGCGGCACCTACTGGAAACCGGGTCCACTGTCCCATTGATACATCGTTTCGTACAGATATTTGGTTTTTGTACTGTTCTAGGTTCTTGAGACTGGGTACTTGTATTTCTATATTAGGAAGGGCTTGACTTTCTGTCTACCGGGACACATGACCGAAGTTTAACTCCTGAAAGTGGTAGCTCTTCAAGCGCAGGAAACAGTGATGCAGGGTCACCCATGCCTTGAGTGGCGTGGGGTTCTACGCTCGACCAGTGGCCATCCTGGGAACTCATGCTTATATCTTCACCACTCACGTATTATCGGTAGAATTTGGGGAATCAACAAGATGAAGGAACTAGACTGCAGGTGGGTATGCAAAACCCTGAAGACCACTGGGCGCCGCCATCAGCGGGAGTGGGAGACTCACTAGTGGCGGTGGGAACGTTTCCCAGGCGCGAGCAGGAATAGTGACATAGGGTCACCCATGCCTTGAGTGGTGTGGGGAGTGTTCTACGCTTGACCCTGTGCCATTCGGGAAAATCTGGTTTATACCTTCC